TCGAACTTGAGGTTAAGAGATCCCAAAGACTTCTCGTCTTTGATGCCATAACTTCGGGCCACTCTTTGCATCTCTTCGTTGAGCCCTTTGATGACCCGTTCGTTGGCGTCGACCAACCCGTCGGCGCTTCCCTTCGACTTCTGGTTGTATTCACGGATTTTGTCCACAAATAGCTTCTGAATGGGATCTGAAGCCGTTTGGGTGGACGCCATCAACCGGACGCTGTTTCGCGATATTTGACCCAAATTTAGGTTTAATTTGATTATATTTGACAACATTTCCGATCAATTGTCCGCAAATTGTCAGCAAATTGTCCGCAAATTCACAACTAATCAAATGCAATGGTTTTGCACACTATTTATGACCTTTTTGTGGATATCACGTTATATTGTGTGTATTTTTAGTGCCCTTTGCCTCTAGTTTGCATTCATTTCAGGCAAATATAACATTTATTTCATTCACACCCCTCGGTCTGTTATCTATGAATTGTATTCAATGTTTTATCTTATATTGATGTGTGAATAAGTTGAGACATATAGGACCACCCTTTCATAGTGAACACGTGATTGGTTTATAGGTAAACCTTATAGTAAGCCACTCCTTATGTGGTCTCAACTTATTATATCTAAACAGTATTCACCAAAATATGGCTTATTTTGCAAATAACGTCCAAATATAAGGCTTTTCATTATAATTAATTTATTTAATCATATTTTGTATGATTAAATATATTTGACAAATATATAGATGTATTAGAAGTGATTCAATGACTTAAATACAATAATAAGTTAACTATAATTGACTAAAAATATTGCAAATACTGGTAATGAAGCCGTAATTGATTGAGTGATTGGCAAACATAACAAACAGTGAGTGAATTGAGGACCGATTGGCATAACTATGGCATCGATTCGATGGTTACTTCAGAAACCTCTTCATCTCATGAGGTCTACAATCACTCGACAACTTCACCCTTCGTTGGCAACTCAGACACGACTCGAAACGACAGCCGCAACGCCTCCTCCATCCGTGAAGCCAACGATCAAAGCTCAGGATCCGGTGAAACGGAAACAGTTGACCGAATTCGGGGTCTATTTAGCGGAATGTGTGCCAAAGTATGTGCAGAAAATACAATTAACACATTGCGACGAACTCGAGGTCCTGATCGCTCCCGAAGGAGTGGTTCCAGTGATTCACTTCCTCAAAGACAACCACTCGTCGCAGTTCACAAACCTGACGGACATCTGCGGCGTGGATGTGCCCACTCGTCAGTATAGGTTTGAAATCGTTTACAACTTACTATCGCTTCGGTATAACTCGCGGATCCGCGTCAAGACATACACCGATGAGTTGACGCCCATTGAGT